GGAAAACAAAGACGGTTAATAAGTCAGAAATGGTCATTCTTGTCTCATTTGCCTTTTGTCAGCAATTTTCTTCTGCTGAAATCTATATTAACAAATTTTGAAGCCTTTAGCCTACTTTCCCTCCTAGCTTCAATTCAGCTTGCTTTCTGAAATCATGTTTATACTTGTAACGCTTATATAATATATCTTTCTGTTAGGACGGTCCGGCACGCGAGTCGTCACTCTGACCGTCCTGATGGAAAGGGAGCAAAGAAAACCCACAGGCCGGTGGGTGCATCTTTCCATATTACCCTTCAACCAGATCGTTTTGAGTTCGCTTTTTGCTCCAGTCTGACCTCTGTCTTCGCCTAAAGATCAAGAGCCCTAGCCTAATTCATATAGAGCCTCAGGGTTTACTGGCCGATTCTAGTTTTATTGAATTTTTTTTGGAGACATCTAACGGCAAGATGTGGATAGGTGGGACAACGGAGTTTCGAAACTTCAAAAAACACCCCTACCCCACAAACTTCCTATTTATTTATACGTTCAGTAACTGCAAAAGTCAGACGGTATGGCCAAAAAATCGTGCAACATGCATAACTTTGTAAAACGTTTGGTCATTAATCGCCTACCGGTGTGAACGCATTTACAAAAAATTATAAATCACCATGAAAAACATTACGCAAATTTAAAACTTAAATAAATTATAAGAAGTACAAAGTGTTTGTTAAGAAAAAACAAAATTTTTTCCATAATGCCCAAGTTCCGGCGACGTAAAAAATAGCTAAAATTTGGAAAATAAATTTATATATTTTCTGAAGTTGAAAACCTTAGGTTACCAATTTCTTTGTATAAAAAGAGCTTTTCTTTAGTCAAAATTTTTTATACGTATTGCCATTATTGGATAACTATTTATTTAATATCATCCTTTAAATTCTGGCCTAATTTCCAGCGTGTTCAGTGTCTTTATGTGTTCGTCCATCAATTAAGCTTCTTTTCGACAAGAGTGGATTCTACAACATAAATCCCGCCACAAGATAAGACATGGAAATGGAAAATTCGATCCCGGCGATACAGGATTTCATGCCCGAACTTCCAGGAGGGATTAATCTGCCTTTGTCTTAATCTTTGTCTTAAACCTAATCCCAATCCCATGGAAAGTAATGCAATGCTTCAGGCAGTGGAGATTCATATGCATACAGTCGCGTCAATTCTCATCGGCCGTTCTGGGTGAATTTAAAGCTGGTTCTAGGAAGTTAACGTTTTGTCAGATTTTATAATTTATTTGATGATCGCGTTATGATTACCGCTTTAGATAAAAGCCCCGGCTGAAAAGGCGTTTAATCATAGGAATTTACGGCAACAGTAGCTTATGTACCCCCCTTATATACCCCTAGTCCCAGCATGATGTCCTACGAAAACGGTGAGTTTAGGGTTTTGTGGGTGGCGAATTAGGATACGCAGTGGAATATAATTTAATAACTGTTGTATGCATTTTTATTTTATTGTAATTAGATGTTCCGTTGATTTATATGTAGAGATTTTCCTAATCTGTATCATCGTTTAACGTATTGCGGAAAAACCCGATTATCAAATTGCGGCTTTCTTGAAATTCCCGAAAAACAGAAATGGTGGGCTGAAGGTCGTCTACTGCAACTTATCTGAGGTCCAACTTACCGTTCTGGAGTTTTATTTGTA